ACAAACTGGAAATTAGCGAGAACAAGGCTTTTACCCAATTGGTGTTTTACTTAGAAATTATAGACGCTGGAGGCAATTCATCATCTGCTGCTCGTCAGGCCCTGGGCATTCGGTTTCGTGAGCAGGCCATACACGCTCACCATTCTTCCGATCCAGGTAAGGGTTTGGCAAGCTTTACAGTCTTTCTTTTATTTTTAGAACTATTCACTCGCGATGCACAGGGCCGCCCTGATGCTCCCACCATGCACAATCCAGGTTGCCATTCTTTTTGCCCCATTTACACAATCATTTCCAGCAACTGCCCCTCTTCGTCTACACCAGCATGGCGCCACAAGAACTCGGTGAAGAGACCCCGCCTCGAGATGGCAACGATGAATCGGGCGGCACGGCATACACTGTAAGCCAGGTCTTGGATTGGGCCTATGCTTAGGCTTCGGCTTAACTTATGCCGATTCACTAGACTTCGAATTAGCTTAGCCGGTTTAGCTTTATCTCGAACTTGGCCTCGTTAGATTGATTGTTGGACCTAGATATAGGCATGAAATGGGGAGCAACTTTTCTTCCTTTCGTTCTTTTCATGGCAAAAACGTTTGGTTTTATTAGTCAAATTGCTCTTATGTTACCCCGAAAAACCGGATAATTGTACCAAATGGCTTGCTCAATAGCGCTTCTTTCTCTCGATTGGGTTGTTGTTGTTAGTTGTTCTCTAGCCAATGCTCGGAAACACCTAAAATCTCTTTTTATTGCAGCGAAATATAATCCGCCTGTCATTCTATCACCCCCTTCCCCGCTACGCTATAACTACCGTATTGTGTCTGCGAGTTCTGATTAATAATGAGTTTCTGAATATGGTCTTGGGAAAGTGTGCCATATAATAAGCTTAAAATTTAACTATATTTTGGATAACCCGTAAAGTCGCGATTTTCACCATTTCCGAATTTTGCAGCCAGTTCTCCCGCCACCAACAGGACGCCAGCCACAGGGACGGCATCGCGCGGAGCCGGTGGCTCCGTCATACTCCGTAAGTCAGGTCTTCGATTGTGCCTATGCCTAGGCTTAGGCTTAGCTTCGGCTTAACAGGCTTATTCATTAGACTTAAATTAGTTTAGCCGGATTAGGTTTTTATATAACTTGGCCTCGTTAGGTTGATTATGAAACCTAATTATGGGCATGAAATGGGGAGCAACTTTTCTTCCTTTCGTTCTTTTCATGGCAAAAACGTTTGGTTTTATTAGTCAAATTGCTCTTATGTTACCCCGAAAAACCGGATAATTGTACCAAATGGCTTGCTCCATAGCGTTTTCATAATACAAATTTTTTTAAACAATTTAAGACAACATTTTAGTACCGGATGATCGACGAGATCCCGCGTGCTCTCTGGCGTCGGCGTCGCCCCGTCACACAAAACCACAGCCTACCGCGTCATCCCAGCCGCAACTTCAGGTTCTAGATTGTCATTTATATTAAATTCTTAAATTTCAGATCATCCACCGGGTCGTCAAGCCCATCGACGACAACTCGAAGAACAACGAGAGTGACCAGCCCACCAAAGTAAGCCAGACTAGGAGTAGGCTTGGCTTGCGCTTAGCTTAGTTTAGGCTTGGGTTAAGCTTAGCCGGTAGACATAATCCAGATGCAGTCATAATGTAGTCATGCAAATGTTGTGCAATTTAAAACTTATGGTTTTAGGATCCGTTGCTCCCAGCTGAAGTGCCCGAATGCTACGTCTGCGACTCGGAACCGGGCCCCCTGGTGCTGCTGCAGCAGCGAATTGGCGTCAAATGCCTGAATGCTCGCAGGTAGGAATTTTAACAGGCTCCCGAATATTTGTGTTTTAGCTACTACCTGAAGAAGCCGCTCGAGAAAAGGGCTCACAAGACGAAGTGCCCGCACAAGGATTTTGAGTGAGTAAATACAAAATAAACAGCTAGATCAGCATAAATTACAATGAAACATGTTTGTTTCAGTAGCTCCCAGCTGCCAACGGACCCGGAGCTGCGACGCACCACGTTGCGTAGGCTACTAAAGGCCGTCTCAATTAAATTATCTTATTGCAGGAGAGATCGCAGCGACGGGGGGGCGGCTTCTGCCGCGTGCTCGTCATCCAACAGCTCCAAGTGTCGTTCGCTATCTACTGATGAGACCCATCCGCCCCCAAGAAACAAACTCGAATACTCGCCGCAACGTACTTGATTTCTTTGAATAAACGTGAAACAGAGAGATTGGCTGAACAAAACAAGGAACTACACCTGAAAATACTCTGCGCAAAAACTTTCAAAGTCGCGCTGAAAAGTTTTCGCATGGCAACTAGTTTTCCTGAGATAAAAGGAACTCGGAATTTCTGTAAATGTGAAAAGCTATCGTTTGAAATCGGAAAGCAAATGGCCGAGGAAACCGATGGCCGAACGTCAATTTGCGACGGGAGCCCCCGGGCACAACGCGCGAACTCCGGGATTCCTATGGCGCGCCCCAATGACAGTACCCCCGCCTCCCGGGCCCATCCCCTTTTCCCTCGCGTAATGGCCCGTTTAGTTGGTAAAACATAAAAAGAAGTCGTTTTACAAAGAAAACAATAGAAAAGTGAAGTGGAATACATTTACAGGATAGTTTTTGTCATGTATACTCTCCAGTAGATGACGCAGGCGCACATGCGCTGGGAGGTAGAAGCGTACTAGGCGTTTTGCTTAAATTACTTGGCTTTAATTGATGCATAGGCTTAGCTTAGCTTTAATCTGTGCAACTGAAGCACAAGCGTAGCGGATCTTAGCTTTAAGATACCGGTCGTCTCAAAAACAAAGTTTGTTGGCGGGTTTCGCGTACGACCGCTCATAGCATGGCTCAAGCAAGGCTTAGACTTGGTCATACAAAGACTAGGAAGAATGGCTAGCTTACCTTGTATAAGTAGCCTTCTTGCAGTTAAAAATCAGTCTCCTCGGGTCGGAAAAGGCGTCCATATCGTGATAATTCAGACAAAACCGGTGAAGCCATTATTACAAAGTTAATTTACAAAACTATACTAGCCATTTGGAAAGCCGGTTCGCTTTGCATGATGCGCTGAAAGTTTCTTTGCTACTAGCAATGCTGCTGCTCTACTGTGCTCATGAAGCGGAATGGAAAAGCCGGAAACAGATGAGCGGAATTAGGTAGGACGTCATAACCGCAGGGATCTCCGTCAGCGTAATACTTCATCCTTAACCTGGAAGCTTTAAACGTAAGCCCATACAAGCGAAGTCTAAGCCTTGACTTACCTTCGTTCAGAACCAAGCAAAAGCTGCGTTAAGCCTAGTAATAATGACACAAGCTTCTAGCGAAGCTAAGCTGAGTTATGCTTGGATATAGGGCTGAGAAGAAGCCAAGCTCGTGCTGAAAGCTAAGCCGTGGCTGTGGCGTCGCTATTCCCAGTTAGTTCTGCTCCCAAAAATGCAGATATTCTTCTAAAAAGTACTCTCTGGCACGGTAAATGTCTATTTACGAAATATTATAGTAAAACTTACTGTAATTTTGAATAACTACTAATAAATAATGTTGAAATACAAATTTACCGCCAAACCTGTGTACCAGGCAGGGTTGTTCATTTTGGGTCCGGTCCGCGTCCGTCCGGCCCGGGACGCGGACCCGTCACGTCCGCGCAATTTGCATAAAAAAATGCGGACGGGCTGGGACGGGTCCCGGACGGGCCGGACGGACGCAATGCGGGCTGGGGCGTCCGCGCGTCCGCGATGCAAATGGACGGAAGCACATGCAAAATCATTGCAAGCAAATTAACATCTTCGCTCGATTGTTGCCTTTCCTTAATTTACATAGCTGCTTTACTTCGGAAAGAGGCGAAAAACCGTCATTTCATCAATTATCATGCACGTTTTGGCTACCCGCGCTTTGCATAGCGGGCTCGGCTACTTCCCGCGTCCGAGCCCGTCCGGCCCGTCCCGGACCCGTCCCAGCCCGTCCGCTCTGCCGGAGCAGATTATTCGGACGCGGACGGGTCCGGGCCCGCGTCCGTCCGAGCCCGTCCGTGAACAACCCTGGTACCAGGTGTACCGGGTGCTATATACTAATTGCAAAAATGTATTCCACTTCACTTTTCTATTGTTTTCTTTGTAAAACGACTTCTTTTTATGTTTTACCAACTAAACGGGCCATTACGCGAGGGAAAAGGCAATGGCCCCGGGGGGCGGGGGTACTGTCATTGGGGCGCGCCATAGGAATCCCGGAGTTCGCGCGTTGTGCCCGGGGGCTCCCGTCAATTTGCGCCCACCTTCCAACCCGCCACAAGCAACCATTTGGAAAAGTTTCTGAGGTTCCGTCGTCAACCGGCAAAACCCGGATCGCAATAATTTATTATCAGCACACACAGAAAACAGCCCAAAAACACCAAACACTAGAACTCCTTACTCTCTTACCCGTTCGAATTTTGTGACCGGTCGGTCCACTAAGAGCAAAAGGGAGAAGGGAAAGGGGCTCTAATTGAGATGGGTAAGATACTAAAAGAAATCACTGATAATTTTGGAATGGCGGCTGCTTCAGAGAGCCATTCCACGGTCACTGTTCAGAGAGAGATAGAGATAGAGAGTGTGGAAGAATGAGCGAGAGAGCGCGTGAGAGAGAGCGCGCGAGATAGAGAGCGGGAGCGAGAGCGAGTGTTTTCAAAGTTTTTCGGTTTATGATATTACGAAGCCGAAACTTCAAACTTGAAAAACTTGAATTGAATGTCAAAAATCGTTGATTTTAGACAGACGGGAGTTGCATGCAACGTGGCACACATACAAACACTATTTTTCAAATAGTAAGATATTTGTCATTCGTCATTGCGGTTGTAGGATGCCAGTTTAATTCAATTCAACAAGCGTTTATTAAAAAAATGCCACCACCATAGGACCACCATAAACGCGCTGGTTCAATCAGTTTCTGGGTACTCGTACTGTACTCGTACTGGGCTGTACTCGTACACCCCAAGTTCCTCGAAGTCAGACGGTCGATCGAAAAGGTGCATACTCGACTTACTCGACCCCGAGTCGCTGTCGTCTAAAAAGTCTGGTGCGAGGTCGTCCCCGTGATATCAACGGTCTAATGGTGTTTTAATAGAAACCAGCCTGGATCCCATGATATTCTTGACTCGTGATTCGTATAATTCTCGTGATTTTCGATGACAAAAATGAGAGACGCTCCCTCACTTACCTTATATACACTACCGGCCTATGCTAATTTCTTCTTAACAAAGAGAGTGCTGAACTTTTCAACAAAATTTAATTTTAACGTCGAAAACAGTTAATTTTTGAAAATTTGATAAGTGTGCAGTCATTCCAAAACTATTACGCACCTCATAAGGTATAATACGTGCCCCTAACTACCTTCCTTATTGAGAAACCAAAGCCCAAAACCCGCTTCGCGGGCCTTGGGCGCTGGAATGCGGCCTTTGCATGAAAAATTTGACTGCCCGCTAGCTCGAGTCCCTCGGACCCCTTCCCCCCACCGGCCACACACGCGAGTGCAACTGGCAAGAATGAGGAAATTTGTATTTTTCCGCATTATGCAAATTAGCCCTCAGGGACCCACAAAAATGAGTAAAACCGGCTTTAACTTTGTAAACTTGTATTTTATCGAGATTCTGAGAACGC